AGCCACACCCACACTAGGAATAGTTTCTCTTATAAAATTTTGGTTCTCCATAATGTTTTATCAGTCCCAGCTTAATAATTAATTATCTCCATTTCAAATATGTCAAAAATCAATTGTTGTTTGAAATTCTTTATAACATGTGTGAATTTTAGGACCCTTTGACTGGAAACTGATGGCTCGTAGATTCATAGTGTCTCTACTACTGGATAAAAGATTCTGTAGGAAACTTCAAAGTTTATGTTGTATTACAAATAATAAATTTTCTACTTGATACAAATTTCAATAAAATTCTTTACTTTTCATCAAAGATCAGGTCATGTGCTTGTTCTTTAACCCTTATTGTCTATGTGCAAAACAATCTCGGACACTTTCTCACGTAGCAAATCTCACACTACTTTGCATTTTTTCCTTAATACACCTCGCATCTGGGGTTCTTATACTCCTCACCATGATTGGCTCCCAGTGTTTTCCTCAACCATGTTGGCCTCCCAGTGTTTCCTCACTATAGTTGATGATTTTTATGGGGAACCTCGATATACACTCATACAGTCCAAAAACCAAACACTTTCCAAAATAAGGCATGCATCTCCATGTTTAAAACACAGTTCAATTGTCTATCCAGCGCATTTGCACAGATAATGCTCGTGATTTCTATTAATCACATGCTTTCATTTTTTTTCACTCTTGGTATATTCATGAAAGCTCTTGTGTTATAACCTTTGTAGAAAATGGTATAGTTCAATGCAAACCACAAAAATCTGTTTAGAAATAGCATGGGCCTCTCAACACCAAGCCAACATCCCTATTCCTTTTGGGGCAACTATGTGGTCAATCTACTACTTAGCTGGTCATCGGATGACCCAAAGTTCTTAATGGTAAGACAGCTTATAACTCCTTTTTAGAACTCTTGGACATTGCCATCTCCAAGTTTTTGTATGTTTTGTTTGCTACTAATCTTGGAGCTCATGACAAATTAGAGTCTCGTCCTCCGATGTGTTTTATAGGACACCATATCATTAGAAAGATATCACTCTACAACCTAGTGAAAACAGTTCCTGGTTTCCGAGATGTGGGTCTTTCATGAGGTAACATTCATTTTTTGTCCTACTAACCAATCGGTTACCTCTAGTAGGCGTCGTGTTTCCTTTTGACTAACCCGTTTTGTTGAGGTGTGTACGTGCAAGACTTTCATGAAGAATTCCATTAGAATGAGAAGTGTTGTGCTTGGTTGTTGGAAAATTCTAGGCCATATCAATTAGACCCTTGTACTTTTTTGGAATTGAGTTTGGACCATATTTTGGAATTGACATATGGGAATAGGTTGAGCTTGTTGTTATAAGGAAAACCCTGTTTCTCTAGGTGCAAGTCATCTACAATGGTTAGGAGAGTGAGACTCATGATTAGGAGGTGAAAGGGCCCCATTATCATGTGATATCTTAAATGCTCAAATCACCATTCTTTTGGCCAAACGTCAATTCCAAGATTATCTAATATAATCCCGCAAGAACTTGACCTTGAAATGCACGATTCAAATGAATTCTTGGTTAACTCCATTTCCTTCATTTCTTCAATTCTAGATTATCCTGGGAAAGGTGTGATTTCTATGCGTTGAGGAAGGGTTCCATCGATGAACCCTTTCTATTTTGTGTGATTACGCACGCCGAAGTCTCTGGCCTAGGTGGCCGACTTTTGGGTTCCAGTCAAGGGCAGTTTTATGAGCACAGCCAAATCCATCGAAAACCAGTGAAAAAAGGGCATCCCCTGGTTAGTCAACCGCTGTGGCTGGAAGAATCTGAAATACCAGGAGGGATTTTGAACCGTCGGGTTATGATTTTGACACATAAACCCCAATGGAAATGGCTGGTTGGAATTGGATCCGGTTGGTAATTGGAGAATGTTTGATGGGTTGGATCAGGTTGGGTGTTTGGGCTTGTTAGTAAGTGGTTAGTTGGTTGTTTTTGGGCTGTTGGATGAGTTGGGCCACTTGGGTTTGTGATTCATTTGTGTGCTGGTACTCTAGTCTGGTCATAAGTGTTTTGGTTGGGTCCATTAGTGATGTTTGGGAAAAAAAACTAATCTAATCCTATTGCTGTTTTGCAGGTTCAAAAAAAAACAGGCTTAGAGAGGATTTTAGATAGAAGCAAAGAATGCTTTGATACATGTCAAAGTTTGAGTTGAAGTGGCAAAATAGGCAAAGACTACCAAAGAATGCCAACAAAAGAAGCTGATAAAGTGGCAGAAATGAGGTGCGAAGAATACCAAGCAAGGGAGAGGAGAAAATTTTTAAAATTTTTTCTTGTATTTTGATGGTGTACATCAACCAATAATAATGGCTGTGAATACCGTAATGGAAATGAATAATACAGTAAGTAAGATTAATTACAGATATTACATAATTATGAAAATGTAAATTAGTAATGGCTGATTCCAACATGGATATCTGCAAGTTTCCTATTTTCATCACACTCTACAAAGTGAACGATGTTGGCGGAAACTCCAATAGATTGGATATACGTTTGAAAATACAAAGTAGCTCAATTATTTTGACCATTTGAGGATTGTAATATCCAAAACCAAGAGATTTACATTTGAAGGGTTAAAGTTTGGATAAATTGCTATGCAACTTAAAGCAGGAGTGCAACAGCACATTAATGCTTAACATGCATAGAAGAAGTAAAATGTATGGTCTTCTCTTGTAAGTTGGTAGGATTAGAGTTTAAAATAAAACATTTCAATTGAAATTGAACTTTTTTGATACTTACTAGATTTTCTTTAATTCCATTCAAGCTTTCCTAGTACATAAAATACAAAAAAGTTAATGAATGGAAGAGAAGAACACTAGAATAGATTGGGTTTTTAGCAGTTCAAACTTTCATTTTTTAAATTCCATAAAACAATCAGATTTTAATTGAATGTTTAACTTATCAAATAAGTATTTCATGACAAATTTCCTATAATTAATGAAGAAGAAGAGACATATGTATTAATCATACCTAATTTTTGGTTGATTTGATTATTCTCCATCAAGTTCAATCTGGGGATAAGAGCAATCTTGGCCAATCTTCACCTATTTCGGTTGTTTGCATTTCACTAGTTTAGGACAATTTTAATTTGTATTCTCTCAATCAATCAGACAATTAAAATCCTTGGGCAAAGATGGACAATTCTAGACACTAGAATATGAACAATTGAAGTGATTGAGACTTGCATTGCTCCGTAACGCCTTGAAGTTGGAACAATCTTCAATGTTCAAACTCTGCAAAGTGTTTGCGGAACCTTGAAGAAGCCACTATGGCAATTCCTCCAACTATGGTAATTTTTAATAACAAGCACTCGAAGATGAGCCATGGGATATTGAGATCTTGATGGTGTCTTCCCTTTCTGTTCCCATGCTCAAATCAAGATTAAGCTTTCACAATCATCCAATATCAAATTCTCCAATGAGTCGAGGTATTTTATACGATGTGGTAATGAGATTAGATTCGGACAACTTGCAAATAAACAATGATCTAAGGGCTTTTAGATAACCAATATCTTCAAATAAAGATTCTAAATTATTGACCGAGGGCACAGATAATACGTAGATATATAGTGTTGAACGACCCATCGAAAGGCAGTATAGGTCTCACTTGTCAAGGGTTTTGTGACAACCTGTGTAAACACATGGGTGCTTGCTATAGCAAGTTAACCCACCAGACCGCCACAGAGGATTCCACAAGAATGGTACTCTAGTTCTATGGAACACATCCTCCAACAATGGGGTGTATGTGATCCTTAGACTTGAGATCACCGAGTGCCTTATGTATGTATTGGTGTAGTTTGACACCTAGTCCAAAGTATTCTTGGGAATTGAGACTGCAAGGTACCTTGCCGACATATCCTTCAGCCAGTGAAATATTGTTCTTGAACTTGTTTCAGATTTGGATATCCACATGTAAACAAGCATGATTCCAGTAGAACAACACCAAACTCAAAAGCCAACAATATGATGAAGAAGTGCCATCCTCAAAAAATGATCCTCCAAGCCATCTACAAGACTTGTGAAGACTGATCTATCTCACTATGACAACGCCCGACATTAGTCCTGACTGATCACATCCATAAGGTCAATTCATGCATGGACCAAAGGATCTCATATGGAGTAGCATAATGTGCTCAATACCTGAAGGTTGTCCAGTTTAGGGCTTACTTCTACCAGGATGAAAACTTAGATATAACAACTTTCTTGACTCGATGGGGCACATGGTCCAATGATAAGGAAATCTCTCACTAGTTGCTATATAGCTTGGGAATTCTTGATTTCCTCGAACGATAAGAGACAGTCACAGAATCAACTAACTTCAGCAGAGGCCAAATACATAGCTATTGCAAAGCCACATGTGAGATTGTTTGGATTCTGGTTATTAAAGGATTTAGAGATACAACAAGTAAACCCATCCTCTTACATATGAAACAAAGTGCCAAGATATTGCGCGAGCCTATATTTCATGAAATGACAAAAGCATATCAAACTTGATTGTCACTCTGTCTAAGCACAAATTCAAGAAGGGGTTATCAAAACAATGTATATCCGACTGCAGAGAAACCAGTAGACATATCATAAAGCATTGTGTAGTCAACAACATTCATTGCTTCACAAGCGGGGTATTTGACATCTACAAACCACGGCTTGAGGGGAAGTGATGCAATATGGATGAAATTAAAGATTGTTGAAATCATGCATCTGGAATCAAGCAGATTACAAGATATCCAAGAATTACTTTATTTAAATTATACTATAAGTTACACCCTTGATGATTTCCTCATAGTGTTCTTGATGTCTTTGTACAATTAATCCCAATGTAAAAACAATAGACACATACAATATATAGACTTTTTGAGTATTTTCCATTCTCTATCTTTTTGCATTCTTCAGCAACCAAGTTGCTTCTTTTGCATTGCTGCTTTGGTTGTCTGACAAGACGAAATAACTAAGCAAAAACATGGTTTCAAGTGATAAAAAAAAAAAAAAAAAAAAAAAAAAAAAATTGGTATACATTTTTCCAGCTATTCCTGATTGACTAGTATGAGTATTTAAGCTCGAACAGAATTTACCTTCTCCTACAGCCTACGAAGACCTGAAACAACAAGAGGCCATCGTCCTCCATGAAATCCAAAAATTCTGACTATCCGGCCATGATTTCCTTTTGCCGCAAGAAATCCACAACGGAAAGGTAGGGAAGGAGGGCAGAATAACATCCCATCATTCTGTCAAATATCACCACTCTTATTGTTATAGCTGTTCTTTCATGAAGAGCTTACGCCAAATTCTTGTCAGGCTCAGCACAAGCAACTCTCTGTGCTCACTTCATGGAGATCCCACTCAAATCAGTTTATTTCTGTCATTTCCTTCCAAATTTGTTGTTTTTGCTATATTTGGAAGCAGAAGCAGGTCTACGGACTGCTGCTTCATTTTTTCTGCCCTTCATTTTCGGCTCCATCTTTCTCATACGATTACCCATGGGCCCTTTATTAAAACTCTTATTGTTTTTCCAACCTCCTGTTGATTGATCTTTCACTGGCTTTTCATGATTAAAATTCCTCTCTCTCTTAGCTGATTTGAAGCCACTGGCACCAGTAGAAATGTGTTTATGCTCTCTCTTTCTCTTTCTATATTCTATTGAACCACTTTCTGCAGTCTGAGTACCCATGTCCTTGCGCTTCCTATTTTGTGGCCTAACAATACGCAGTTTAAATAGTAATCAGAAGATTGAAAAACACAAAAGACTCAAAAGGAAAATTCAAGCACTATGTAAAGATATCAGACCCTTTGGCAGGTGAATCCGTGGTCACTGTCTCTGGACCAGTGTCAACTTCATTGGTACTCGATTTGCTATGGCGGTTCTGCAATAAGATATCCATGCCGCCAAGTAATTATATCACAAGTCTTGGTCCAATACACATAAAAGAACTTAATTGGTTCAAGTCAATCAAGAAGCACAACAGATCCTGCTGCATGCTATTATATGGAATCATTTATATAGATTTTGAATATAAGGTATGGAATGTATTAAAATAATAATTTTAATTTTTCCCATGAAGTTTGTTTACTGAAATTTACAAAGTCTACTGATGCATGTATGATGCTTGATTGATGATGCCACAAGGGTCCAAGAAAATTAAGATGAAAGGAATAGCACGCATAACAAGATCCCAACAAGCAATTTGGATAAAAATAAAAGTGTTAAGGAGGTTACAGGTGCAACTTGATGAGAAGTTCAAAATTTATCTGGAAGCCAACAGAATAGAGAACGCAGTAAAGTAGAGGATTCGCATGCAAGATAACAAGCTCCTCCACATGAATGGAGCCTGCTTAAGTGTCCACCCTATTCCTCGATCAAATAAAATTTGCAATTTTATAGTGTAAAAATAAGATTGTTTAAACATTAAGAAATAAATTACCTCCAAAACAGTCTTCACAAACCTCGTATATTTTTCAGGAGTAATGGATTCAACAGCAGCAAAACCACACTTCCTTATCATAATCTCCAAAATGACAGTGACCTGTAGATGGAATGCAAGAGTATTTGCATGAAAGATCTTTCAACAGTGTAAACAAATTTGTGTGTTTAAAAAGCTTAACAACAAAAATCAATGTACCTTTGATCTGAAATGATTTCTAGAAACAGAAGACCATGGCAGAACTCATTTAATGACATCACCAAGGAAATTCCGGATGTCTTTCGCTTGTAAGCAAGACACAATTACTTTCACAAAGCCTAAAACAGCCTGTTTGATATGAAACAATCAATCCATGGCATATAAGGAAGCACCCAAGAAAAATTCAAGAATTAGGATGACGAAGATCTCACTTTTATAACTTCCACAGCTTTGCTCTGAAGCAAGGATAAAAGAGAGGAAACAAAATCAGGCATTGAAAGACAGATGTCTGGATCATTATATACCAGCACAGATAATGCAGACACCGCTCCACTTTTTATGTGAGGAGATGAACCAGAAAGATAACCCATGATCTGAAGAGGAGGAAATTTTCATTAGTCCTTAATAATACAGCAAGAAGTAGTCATGGAAATCATTGAACGGACAGGAAGCGGGCTGTGAATTTTAATAACTTTCTTCACTACCAAAGCCACAAAATTAGAATTGTATACAAGAAGAAATCAATAAATAAAGCAGAAGTATCACAATATGTAATCCACATACAATACCTCCCAGGGTCTCACTAATCAGTTAGGGTTTGAGGTACAGTCAGCTGAAAAAAAGAAAAGGAAAAACACGCAACATATAAAGGTCCCACTAAACCAAATCAACTATTCACAAGGAGCCTTACCATGTTAACCAGTTTGTGATATGATGCATCAGAACTGACATTAGATGTCTCTCTCAAGCTGGAACTTATTGAAAGGAGAACATCATAAGCTGCTTTTCTGAGTTCTTCCTTCGCCTACAGATTACATGAAAAAGAAATTCATATCATTAACAAATCAATCACTTATCATTAAGGTGACAATTAACGTGTGATATCAAATACCGAATGATTAACAGATGATTCACATCACATAATAATGAATCATATGTAATGCCAATTAACAAGATCTTCAGAAGGCTGAATCACAAAGCTCAAAACAACAGATAAAGGAGCAAAACAACTCCTAATATTTGCCCCCTTTTTCTCAGTTTGCTGGTGAAGGAGGGGTACCACAAGAGGGCTTCCTAGGAGGCTACCTTGCTATAGCCAAAGCACTGGATCTACTAAAATACAGGCACAGGAAAGGTGTATATTGTGAATCTAATGCCTTGCACCAAGCAAACAGGACATAAGAATCCTGGAAGAATAATCCGGTAATGGAGTTCATCCAAGTAGAACCTGTGGAGCATGCAGTTGCAGATTTTTTCCACAAGCATGGTAAGTCTTCCTCTTATTCTTAAAACTTCCTGTCCCCCGCTTATTTTTGCTGTCTTCTAAATCCCTTTTCAATTTAATTATTTATTTTTTAATTTCTATTCATCAGGAAAACATCTTTTTTTTTTTTGGGTAAGTATCAGGAAAACATCTCACATACACTAAAATTGCATGGCTAGTTCTCGTTACATGTCCCCTCCTGCACTTCTTTAAGACCTTGTTTTTTGAGGTTTTAAAGAAGTGATCTGAGATTTCACTTGGTCTTCTATTTTTAATAATATTCAAACAGCAGTCTATAATTTCCAATCTTTCTCAACTAAAACCTATTTCCGTAACCATAATACAACGAGAACTCATCCTTCAGCTACCTGGGAAAACATAAATTAATTAAATGCACAATAACACGTTACTAAAACTCTGAAAACTTCTAAACTGTGGCATTTAAAAACCATAAATAGTCAAATTCAACCTCACCCTTGATACAAAGAAAGCAACTTTTAGGTCATCCTATATGAACATTTACTTCATCATACTATAAATGGAGAAAGGAGGGGAGGGGGCATGAACACAGAACAAAATCCACAGGCTTCTACACAAAAATTAGATATAAAGCATTTTAATCATATCAAACTTCTTTAAGCCACTCTTACATCTTTTAGTGTGAGTATAATCTCATTGAGGATAAGAAAAGCTTTTGTATTCTCTTCTTCCAAGCTTTCCTGCAAAAAGAACGTGAAAGAATTAAATAGGTAATCAATCACCATCTAAGTCTGCAAACTAAGTTGTAACTTTCAAATCTACATCAAAGGAGGCAATCAATATGATATTATAAATGGAAATGCAATTTATGTGCCAACACAGCAAAATATTACAGAGGCTTAAATTTTCTTCTTCTTCTTTTTTTTTTTTTTTTTTTTTTTTTGGGTGGAGAGGGGAGCATAACAAGATCATAGATTTCTGTCATGTATAGCGCAAAAGTGATTGCCACAGAGATGCACTCACAGTTTTTTTTTTTTTTTTTTGGGTGGAGAGGGGAGCATAACAAGATCATAGATTTCTGTCATGTATAGCGCAAAAGTGATTGCCACAGAGATGCACTCACAGTAAACCTTACAAAAGGATTATTATCCAGTGCATGGTTTTTTTAAAACAAGGGACATAAGAATGGTGATCCTGATACAATCCCAACTTCACAGAATTTTTTCCTTGGCTAGTTTCTGTCAAGTCAACCTACACTCTTCCATAGAGATAAAATTTGCCAACCTAGCCACGCAAAAGGCCTTGAGGCCAAAAAAATGTAGAGGAAGGAAAAGATGAAGGGGAGCTGAACAAGAGCACTATGAATCCTCTTATCTCAGTCTGCATGTCATGAAGGACAGGCAGGTAGAAGATAAAGAGAGAAAGAACCGTAGGAGAACCAAAAAGAAAAGGGAGGAAACAGAGAGAGTTGAGGAGAAGCTAAATTTCCATTATCATTCTTCAATACTAAAGTCTGAATCAAAGCTAATATTTCTTCAACTGGCAAAAATCCTAACTAGAGAAGTACATCAAACTCACATAAGCAAATACCATATACCTCAAATAATTTAAAAGAAAACCTACTCTAATAAAAAAATATATTAACTCCAAGATAAATAAATAATGAAAATAAATATACTAAAACAAAATATATGACCTTCAATGTATGAACCAGAAGAATATGAAAACATGCTAAACGGCGCATAAGAGTTGCAACATCAGCTGGAGATTTCAGGCCAAGTAATAAATCAATCAGCTCTTCATATCCGGATGTACAAAACCAAGCATGTTCCTGTACCATACAATTACAACATCAAAGAGACAGATGAAGTCCATAAACCAACAGGCATTACTAACAACAATTCAAAAGTACAAAGATGTTAACACAAACCTTTAAAACTTTGCCCAAAGTGTGATAGGCTTCAAGATGACCTGTCCCATCACTAGCCTAAATACCACAGGGCCATAAATGAAATTAGAATAAACTCAAA